GCGGGGCGCGATCCCGAATCTCGAGCGACCGCTCTCGACCGCCATGCGCAGCGGGGGAGGCGCCCTCGATAATCCCCTCCGTGAAACCTGCACCCGCGCGCGTTGATGCGTCGCCCCGAAGAGAGCGCTGGAGGAGTGCCCTCAAACATGATGGGGTCAACTTCGCATTTTGCACGTGGTTCGCCAAGATTAACACGCGCGTCGCCATGGGCTTGTGCCGGTTCATTGGCGCCAGGGAAAATAACATCCCTATCGGACTAATGCGTCCATGATGGTCGCTGCGGGGCAGATCCCCACGGCCGCCCAGGTCGAAACACGAACCCGAGTCAACTAATCGCTCTGTTCCAGGGCGCCAGCAGCAACGGCTGACTCCCGGGGGCGGCGCCTGCCACCGCTGACGAGGAACGCCGGAATCCCAGATAATGGCGCCGCCGCTGCGCAGGTCAGCGCCCGAGGACTCATGTGGAACAGCATTGCGCATTGATCCAAAAAGAAACGATCTTGGCTGCATCTGTCGCGCGCTCCGCTGATAATGATTCGCCCCTCCATTGCGCCCGCGCGAGCAGCGCCTTCCGCGCGTTCAATGGAGGCGCGGGAGGCCCCATCAAAACGTCGGGCGGGCTATCTGTCTTGCGACGGCGCTGTTTCGTCGTCCAATTGAGCAGCGCGGTGCTCGCAGGCATCTCGGACACCGCCACCTCCGCGCTGGAAGTGGTTGCCCAGTTAGGGCCATGTGGTCGACCTAATTGGGCGCCGCGCCCGCCCGCTGGCGCGACGCAACCGAGTCGCCGCGCGAACGAGCAGCAGGGCGCCCTCGCGGCCCCGTGTCTGGAAGCCTTCGGGCCCCTGGGGGCCGCGGGCTGCCCAATCCCCTCAGCAGCGACTCTCGTCGCCGCAACGCTTCGGGGAGGCGATCTCCCCCGCGGAGACAACCCGGCGCCCCCCCCGCGTTGCGCGGGGGCGCCGCGAACGGGCGGTCTTCGTCGGCGGGCGCGCTGGAGGGCCACTGCGCGCGCGCGCTGCCGCGACCCGACTTTGACTTGTTCTCGCGGCTGCCCTGCCCGCGGGGCCGCTGCCTCGTTCCGGGCTGTCGGAGGGCGTTCGCCCGCGCCCTCTCTGGGCCGCTGTCTGCCAGAACCGGCCCCGCGCTGAAAATAGGATAGCACAAGTCCTCATGGAACATATTGAGCTTGCGACAGGTCTTCAACGCGCCGTTCAAGTGAGACGCCAGGGGCGCACCCATCGGCTTCGGGCCGCCGACCCCGCTCCATGGTCAGATGCAGATGTGTCGACGCTTTGCGCGGCAATTCCATGCGTTGGCTTCCTCTTCGCGGGCGTCGACCATTCGCTCGATGTCATCGCCCCGAAGGATTTCACACGGGGCTGAAGCAAAGTTTGCGTCGAGCGCGTCGAGGGCCCCGCTGTCGGCGAGCCCCCCGCGCGCGGCGCCCTCGCCATCAACCTCGCGGCGCCGCGCAGGCGCCGCTTCGCCCGCGATGCCGAGCTCAGCGCGTCGATGACGTCTTGCTTCATCTCTCAGAAGTGGGGCAAAGGAGTGCTGATGCCTGCGGCAAGGGCGCCCATTTTTGAAGGGCGCATGCCCTTTGCCAACGGCATCTAAATCATCTCCTCCGCTGCAGACTGGCGGTCCCTCGACGAACCCGCGCGGGCGCCCGCTCGCTCGATCGCAGACGGGGGCGGGGCATCCATCGCGCCGCGCCGAGCCTCTGCTGGCTGAACCCAACAACTATGACATGATTGGCAGGTCGCATTGTGGTCGATCTGGCGCGTTCGGCAATTCTCGCGACCGCGGTGGCGGCCGCCAATCCAGACGCGGCCTCGGCGGTTGCGGCGCGCTCGCTGCCCCCATTCCCGAGGCGGTGCGTCATTGGAGAGAAGCGCCGGGCCCCCCTGCTGCAGCGAAGTCGGCCTTCGCCGACGCGACCGCGTCGGCCTCGCCAGCGCTTTCTCATCCGGCGTTTCGACACTGGGCTGGATGGGGGGGGTCTGGCTCCAGACCGTTGCCCAATGCGAATGTTTGCAACGGTGCGCCCCATGGGGGGGGGGGGGGGGCCCACCAGCTCGAAACAGGCACCAAAACACAACCAATATCTACTCCATGAGGGAGGGGGGGCGAGGGCCCGCGCCGATCGGCAAAACAATGAACGAGAAGCCGATCCCCATCGCCGACGCCGCAGGCGCTGTTTCGACGGTCGGCGGGTGAGTATCACCCACGACCGCCAGTCAGCTAATTGTATAGCTGCTGGTGGGGAAGGGCTATGTTGCTTCCCAACGAGTGCCCGTCCTACTGCGCAAGCATGCCGCGTTGCTAGGGATGGCTGCCGCGCCATTGGCGCTAGCTGCACTGTAGTCTCCCGAGTGTGCACATGCCCGTCCCCGCGAGATTGTCCACCCATTTGCTTATGTGCTGCGTCCCACTCCGTTGCAAATCCAATCCGCACTGGCAACGAGGCCGCTGCGCAGTGTGGCACTGGTCACGCAGGTTCGCGCCAAACCCCCCATGCCCTTCAGCCCTACCGGACAGGGACTGAAACTCAATTCGGAGAACGAGGAGAAGATCTTCCCCAATCGCAGTAACATCGCCGCGTGTGGAGCACTGCCCATCCGCGCTGTCCAGTCTGTCCTGGGGAAAAGCGAATGCGATTTATATGTGTATGTGTATATATATAGGAATGGATAACCTGTTTTGGATGCTGAACGCACTTTCGTTAGTCTCGCGTCGACGCTGAAACCACGCTATGGCTGAATGGCTGCTATGGCTGAGTGACCACTTGCTGTTTCGACTCTCTCAATTGCATCATATCTCGGCACAGCATTCTCCCTGATACGAACTCGCTCCAAGAAGAGGTCAACGCCTTGCTCAGATGCTCCATGGTCATGTTGGCGCGTCTGCGCGGCAGCAACACCCTTCCTGTAATCTCCCGAACCTGAGGGCCCACACTATGAGCATTATGCGCTTGCGCTGCGCTTGCGAACTCCGTAAAATGTTGTTCGCAATCCGTTGCGGTTCGGCTCCGGTCGCCGTTTAAACATTAACGTATGTGTCGTTCGTGCCTGTCGTTGCATTTCTGCCAGTTGTCGGCTTACTCCTTGGCGCAAGTCTGCGTTCGAAATCAACCTTGATGTATCCACGGTGGCTGCTTTGGCCCAACCGCGCAAAATGAGTGTCCGACCAATCGCGACGGTGGAAATTGCACCTGGTCGAATGGGAAAGGTGCCCATGTGCTATCGGGTCCGTTTGGTACCGGAGCTTCGAAGCATCGCTGGGTACTGGGTGAGCTCTTGCCGATCCCACGCGGGATCTTGCCGCGCCCGCGCTTAGCACCCCCGCCGCCATGAGATCGGCCGTCGCCGACGCAACGGCGCCAGGTTACCCCGCCGAAATAGCCCTATCACGGGAGCGGAGCGGGATGTGTTGACTTTTGCCCGAAACATATTCTATTGGTGCGATTTGACCGCGCCCTCTTGGCTGCGACTTTGCAACTATTGGTCCCGACAAGTCCGAACTGCAGGATTCGTCGGAGATGACGGCGCCGAAATGTTTTTCCTGTGCGCCCGCGCTTGCCAGATTAACAAGGCACCGCGCGCACTTCGTAGCGTTATCACTGTTTCTGCAGACGACCTGGTCAAAAGAGGTAGAACCGGTTTTGAACCAGACTAAACATGTATCCGTTAGCGATGAACTGACAACGGCGAGGGTACGGAGGAAGAGACCACGTGTGCGCGGCCCCTAACCTTTCCCAGTCGTTTCGCAAGCCATAATCGCTCGCGGGGCGGCGGCCGACGAACGAAATCGGACAACGACCGAAACAATCGTTTCCTCGATCCGTAGAGGAAGGGGGAAATGCAAGAGGAGACCCGAGAGGGATCCGAGGACCCCCAAACGCCAATCTCGCCACGTGTGCATTTCTTCGGAGAAGGATAGGCACCCACCTGCCGACATACGGCAAGCTCGTGCCGTCACCACATGCGCGCTGGTTTCCGCCGCCGCCGCGCGGATAGGTCGCGCTTGAACGATCGCGGCTTTCCAATGGCACACATCCTCCGACGTCGTCTGGTTCTTCGCCACCATCGACGCTTATTACTGTATTCCCGCGCTGGGATCGCCGCCGCGTCGACACGGCACGAACATGCCGTACACGCAAGAGTGACCATACCAAGGACTGATCCATGGTGCGCGGCTTCTGGGCGCGCGGCGGAGGAGAATGGCCAAACCCAAGCGCGCAAGCCGCTGCTGTCGCTTTGGACTGAAGCGCTAACGCCGCTGCTGTCGCATCGCATTGAACGATTGGGGTCCGCAGAAAGCCCGAATCACAGGTGACTGCAGAAAAGGGTCACTCTGAGGTGCAGTAGGTTATTGAAACAAGTTCAATCAACAATGTATGGAACAGGCAATAGGATGGCGCCAACTACACGCCTTCACCAGCCCTGGGCCCTGGATCGGTGTGGTGTAAACGTGTGACCGAGGCCCCTACGTTCGGGGGCGGCCCTGTGACCGCGGCCCCTACGTTCGGGAGCGGCAACAGGGTTCAAGTCAACAAGGTCCGTGCTGCACGAAAGGAAACGGCGCCCGTGCCCTTTCCAGCCCTCTGCGCTTCAAATGCCCCGTTCGAGCGGGGCTGCACGCGCGAAGCAACCTGTGCACAACGAACCCTTGCGGAAATGTCCGATGTGACCCTCGGCGACACTGGCCTTTGGTGCGCGGTCTGCCAATAGTTGCCTGCGATGCGGCAGCAGCGGCCTGCGCGCCTAGGTTCGGCCCACCCGAGCCCCACCAAAACCGCGCACCAAAGAACCACCCCACGGCTGCCGGTCGGGCCCCCCCACAGCTCCCCGCTGGAGTTTGCAGCGTGTCTGGCGCTCTGCTTCCCAGCCGCTTTGAACAAGTGCGCCGCAAGCGTTAGCGCAGATCCTAGGCTAGGCAGGGGCCCGAGGCCCCGAGGGCCTGCGGTGGCCCTCGCCGCGACGCGGCGGCGGTCCTGCTGCACGGAGGCCGCGAATCTTCGCCCAGCACCTGTCGTCGACCCGCCCACGAGCTGTTGCAGTGAGAGGGGGCGCCGGACGGGGTGCACCAGGAGGTCGTGGTGCGGCCGGTTGCCTGGGCGGCGGTGGCGGCGACAGCAAGAACGACGATGGCAGCCGCCGTGGTGGCAAGGGCGGTGGCGGAGGCAGCTGTGGCGGCGCCGACGATGACGGCGGCAGCCGCAGCGCGGTCAGCGCTGGGGCCATGGGGCAAGGAAGGGCGAGGGGACCCCTCGATATCGAGGATCGAAATTTTCTAGGGCGGAGAAGGACATGCTAATACTGTGCAAACCCACCGAGGCGCATGTCCGACACAACGTGTAGTACAAACATACTGCAGCATGTTGTTATCCAATCCAGAGCACGCCCGCCAAGGCGTTCACACTAAAATATATGTGAGTGACCACGTCGCCCTGGTGGAAGCACCGTACCTGTATGTCTGAGCCCGGAGAAGATGTTTGCGCGCCCATTTGGGCCTCTTCAGGCCTCTTGGGATCTTCGAGGGCCTCCATAGACCTTCGGAGACCTCGATCACATCGGCCCGACTTTCTCCCAGCCTGCACGGCTGTCAAGATCAAAAACCACTGACAAACCACCCTGGCCACTCTCAAGCCAGAAGATTGTCGTCGCCAGCGAACGAGAATTGAAACCTCATGTAAAGACATCGCGGATACCTTTGCGGCCGTGGGCTGATCAAATGTTCTGGACGCCCCCTGAAACGGAGAACACACACATATCTCGACTTGCTGCAAAAAGTACTCAACAACGGGTCTCCCTGTGAAAACAACAGGGGATGATGGCCATTGACCAGCTGCTGTCTTGCTGGCGTAAACTGTCTTCTCACGCTCTGTCTCGCTCACTCTCTCTCTCTCTCACACACGGTCACTGTCTCCGATCTCTCCGATCATGCCACTTATTGCTGCCTCCAAAGGGCGACGCCAAACAGACATCACCAAATATCTCGCTGTCGCAGTCCTAGACGTTTCGGTAGGGCGGGCCTGGCGGTTCTCAGACGTCTTCCTTGCCATCTCTGATCCTGAAGCATGACGGTTGCAGAAGCTGGCCATTTTCGATATGTGGAGATCACCCTAGCGCCACGCACATTCGTCGCAAGCGTATGCAAAAGCTTCACCGATGGACGACGGACAATTTTCAACATGTTGTTCTTGCATTTGCTCTGAGCACATTCGTATAAAACATGTGCACTCGATTCCAGGATGGATAACTTGTTATTCTAAACATGTGCCTCTCGCCTTGGCGCCGCCGGCATTCGTCTTCACAGACTTAGACAGGTTCACGGATGCAGGGCGGGTCTTTGTCAAATTGTGGACCTGGCCTCAGCGCCGCGCACATTCGTTGCAACAACTCACGGATGCAGAGCGCAAAATGTGGCTCTCAGCATCGCGCCGCACACGTTCGTCTTCAGAGTGTGCAACAGCTTCACGGGTGGAGCGCGGTCCTCCTCACCATGTGGCTCTCGCCAGCCTTGCAACACTTTCCAGGGTTCTCATGGCTGAACTCCCAGACATCTCGTTCTGGCAAGACATCGGATTGCCAGGACGCAGAAGTCATGTTGACCCCTGGAGTTAAAATCCAAGGGATTATGTTCTTGCGCGGCTTAGGATTGGGAGGCAACATTCACGTTGATCCTGGGGGTTGAGGTCCAAGGAACTGTGTTTGGCACGATGTAGGATTCTCAGACGGTGGTCTTCTGATGGGCCATTCGCCGTCCTATGAATACACTGCGTTCGGGAAATGTGAAAAGGGAACTTGGTTGGAGGGCTTGTTGCAAACTCGTTGATGCGTTGTGGGTTCACGCTGTTCCTCATGCTCATCCTCGGTCCTCCTCGACCTCGCCGCACCCCCGCGATCATCGATCCTCGATCCTCATCCCCTCGCAGATCCCCGTCCGTGTCCCCACCATCGTCATACTTCTTTATATCCATATGCATACTCGGTTTCACCAACAACATCACCATTACCAAGATCATAATCATGGACATCATCATAATCATGGTCCTGATCATCATAATCAACATCATCCTCATAATCATCAACAACGCCATCATCACCACCGTGATTCAGATCAGCAGCATCGACATCGTCGTCGGCCTCATCAGTATCAAACTCATCATTAGCAGCAGCATCCTCATCATCATCACAACCATCATCATCACCACAACTATCATCACCATCACCATCGCCATAGTCATAAGTATTTCATAATCACCGACAGCAACAGCAACAACATTATCATCAGCATTTCCATCGTCAACAGCAGAAGCAGCAGCAGCATCTTCATTATCGCTCCTCGATCCTCGATCCTCGATCCTCGATCCTCCTCCTTCTGTTCCACCTCGATCATCCTCGATCCTCCTCCTCTTCGATCCTCGATCCTTCTCCGATCCTCTCCTCCTCCTTTTCCTCCTCCTCCTCGAGGATCCCCCAACATTCTCTACCAGCTGAAATGGCGGTCCCCCGCGAAGGCCAGGGGGGGGGGCTCTTTGCGAAGTTCGGGGGCTTCCGAGAGAAGGCTTCGGAGGAAGGCGGGAAGGGCTTCTAAGGAAGACTTCGGAGAATCCAAGGCGCGCCGAGGGGGGAAGTGAGAAGGGGCAAGGCTTCTCGTGAGGCGGCGGGGTTTCTGAGAAGCCGTCCCGCCGTCTGAGAAAGCCCTCCCCCCTGCGCGCGCCGCCGATGTGGGGTCGCCCGACCGACTAGCGCTGATGCGGCTTCGACTGCACAATTATGAAAGGCCCTCTCGCCCTCGAAGAACGGCCGGGCCTGCGCACAAAACGCGCACGAGCACAGCACGCACAGCCTCCAAGATAGCGCGTGCGTCGCCGATACTCCCCCTGCCCCTCCCTACAGAACAAGGCTGTGGCCCTCGCCCTATACGTCAGGAAGCCACTCCTGGGGGCCTGGGTAGGTCGTAGAAAGAACGATCAAGGGCTAGCAAGCCATGTTAACTTAATAAATGAGCAAACCTTCGTTTAACCGATGCCCATTCTCACTGGCATGGCTTGTTGTTCTCTATGATAGCTCTGCCGCGGGGATCTTCTCTCGCTTGCTCTTAGCAGAAAGTGCCAAAGATGCAGCTGCCAGCACTGTACATGAGCTGCTGCCTTGGGCTGCAGCTCGCTGGATACTGCTGCGTGTAAGGCGATGCTAACCTGTGCTGAAGTGCCACGCAACTAAATCCCCGAACAATATTTACCCCACACGGCACTTGAACGAGAGCTGGACATGCTTGGTTCGCGCATGAATTCTCTATCCTGTGTCCTGAATGAATGAGCATGTCACCCAAACCAACTTCATTAGCCCTGCCTCCCCGTGGTCATGGGGTCCCCTCGCGAGGGGCTAGAGTGCCGACGATGCTCCCAGGGACGGGTTCAACATGGTCAACATAGTCCAACATGGTCATATGTAATCCAATATTGGATTCAGCATGGCGCAACATGGCCCGCGTTTTGCTGCTCTTCCCAATAATCATGGGGCAAGTCAATCACAAACTAACGAAGCAGCCGACGCGCCAAATGCGCGCCAACCGCGAGTCGCGACATACGCGCGCTGAGCACGTAAACCCAATTAAAGTGGATACGTCAGTCACGCTCCATGAGCGCGACAAGTGCGTGTTAAGTAACTGACAGGGAACCGAAGTGGCCCCATGCGAATAGAAACGGAGAGTGTGTGTACATATATATACATATATATATATATATATGTATATATGTGATAGCTCAGTCACGGTTTTTTTCTCTCGCTTGCTCTCACCAGAAGGTGCCGGACATGCAGCGGCCAGCACTGTACATGAGCTGCTGCCTTGGGCTGCAGCTCGTTGGATACTGCTATGTGAAAGGCGAGGCTCACCTGGGCCGCAGTTCCACGCAACAAAAATACCCCAGCATGATTTATCCCACGCGGCATTTGAACGAGAGCTGGACATGCTTGGTTCGCGCATGAATTCTCGATCCTGAATCCTGAATGAATGAGCATCTAACCCAAACCCAAAGTTCCCGGATTTCTACTGTCGCCCCCCCCCCTCTGTCCTTTCCACAACCCGCGCGCGTTAGTCCCAGCGCGCAAAGAACGCGCGACACAGCCACCGTGGGCACAGAATGGGAAACTGCTGTATATTGCGCGCGTTGCGTAATATCTGCAAGCGAATGGTACTCACTATAAAATGATCTAACGTTCATACAACAAAGGCACACTTGTTTGCGGACGGCGCATTTTGTCCTGCGAGGCCGGGAGGCTACGACAAAAGACGCCCCCGAACGGCCCCCGAGTCTCCACCCCCTGCGCGGAGGAGGGCGGAGGGGTGGAGAGGGGACCCAGCGAGGAGGGAAGGAGGGTAGTTGGGCAAAAGGAGGGGGAGGAGGAAGCAGAGAACGAAAAGAGCACGAAGAAGGAGGGAGGATGAGGCTCGCAACCGTCTCGCGAATGACCCTGACACTCCTGGCTCGCCCTCTGCGCAGTTGCCCCGCTATCGCTCGCCCGGCAAAGGCATTCCGTCGTTCACGTAGCTTTCGTCGTCGAACTCTTTGACCTTCGTCGATGGCCCCGAACTGCACTTGTCGGAACTGCGGGCATTGCGCTTGACGTCGTCTTTACAGTTCTTTGGCCACGCCCCACGACCCGGGACAGCTCCATGCCATTCGATTGTGAGCATGTCCAACACGTGTTTGCATAGAGGTTGTTTCTCGACTAATGGCGGCAACACAATGTACTCAACAGATCCAATGTCCGTTTTCATAAGCCTGTTCCCCGGCCGGGCAGCTCTTGTCAGCTGCGCCGAGAAATCGGACAGATCAAGTGAGGGCACGCTGACGTTTGTGGCATTCTTGTTATGGGCGACAGCAGAGGCCTTTTTTTCCTGAGGCATGGAAGGCGCAAGTATAACGGACGAGACAACGAACAAAAACACTAACTAGCGCGAGCTCGGTAGGCGGTCGCCTTTTTTGAAGCAGTTTCGGCCCATAGACCAGGCGTGGACAAGGAGGGCACCACACCTACTCCTGGCAAGATGCTTGAGGAGGGGTAGACGAGTAGAGTACACATGATGTCACACCGGGCAAG